AGTAGTAGCAGCATTCGGAGTAGCAGTAGTAGTAGTAGTAGCAGTAGTCTTAGGAGTAGTAGTAGTAGTAGTAGTAGTAGTACAGGCAGTGGTAGAAGTAGTGGTCGTAGTAGTAGCAGTAGTAGTAGTAGTAGAGGTAGAAGCCTTAGTCGAAGTATTACAATAAGTAGTAGTACCATTAATGAAAGTGATAGTTGAGGTTTCATCGGCGTAGTGGCATTAGTAGCAGGGGTAGAAGTAGCAATAGCAATAGTAGTAGTAGTAGTAGTAGTAGTAGTAGTAGTAGTAGTAGTAGTAGTAGTAACAGTAGTAGCAATAATAGCAGCAGTAATAAAAGTAGTAATAGTGGTGGTAGTAGTAGTGGTGGTGTTGGTAGTAGTAGTAGTAGTAGAAGAAGTAGAAGTAGTAGTAGTAGTAGTAGTAGCAGTAGTATTAGTAGTAGTAGTAGTAGTAGTAGTAGTAGTAGTAGTAGTGTAAGTAGTAGTAGTAGTAGTAGTAGTAGTAGTAGTATCCGTTATAGTAGTAATAGTCGTAGTGGTAAATGCAGTATGGTGGCTGTGGCAGCAGTAATAGTAGCGGAATCGGTAGTAGTAGAAGTAGTAGCGGTAGTAGTAGTAGTATTAGGAGTAGTAGTGGTGGTAGTAGTAGTAGTAGCAGTTGTAGTAATAGAAGTAGTAGTCCTAGTAGTAGAAGTAGAATTAGGAGTAGTAGTTGAGATAGCAGTAGTAGTAGTAGTACTAGTAGAAGTAGTAGTAGCGGTAATAGTAGCATTAGGAGTAGTAGTGGGAGTATTAGTAGTAGAAGTAGTAGCAGATGTTGTAGTAGTTGTAGTAGCAGTATTCGGAGTAGTAGTAGTAGTAGTAGTAGTAGTAGTAGTAGTAGTAGTAGTAGTAGTAGAAGTAGTAGCGGCAGTAGTAGTCATAGGAGTAGTAGTGGTAGAAGTAGTAGTAGCAGTAGTAGTAGTAGTAGTAGTAGTAGTAGTAGTAGTAGTAGTAGTAGTAGTAGTAGAAAGATCTAACAAGTCTGTTCAGCCCAGCACGTCTACAAACCCCGCAGCTCCAATTATATCCTCGAATAATTCTCTGTCCTGCGTACCGGTTACTTATCAAAGCCCTACTATATATCCAGCAAATAATTCATACATGAATTGCCCTAAATCATTTATGCCCCAACCTAGTTCAGGCTTCCCACCACTTAAGGCCAATTGCTCTCAGACCTGGTTTCCCACTATTTCATTCTTTTAGTGGCCTACCCTCACCCATTAGCCCCTACTTTCCTTCTAGCCTCCCTCCTCCTTCTCCTCCTCCCCTTCCTCCATTATTTAACTACCAACAGGTCTATCCATGTTCTAACTCCCCTAGCATTCCAATGTTTGAAAACTATATCCCCACCTCCTTTAGGTCTCATACTCAGCCTTCTCTTGCTGACTCCCCATACGTCAATAACTCTAAATTAACTGGTACTTATTCTCCAAGTGTCATTAATTCGCAGCTTACATATCCGCCTCCAAATTTCTTTTAAATACCGTCGAAAATAGCATTGCCGTTCGAAACACATTAGATATTATATTATTGAATGCCAGGTCTGTTATAAACAAGATGGCCCAAATCAGAGCCATTGCTCTGGAAATGACGCCTGATATTATATGCGTAACAGAATCTTGGACACATTTTCTAATTCCTGACGCTGCCCTTCTCATAGATGACTTCGATTTTTACCGCCAAGACCGCACGACTAGGCGTGGGGGTGGTTGTCTTCTTTATCTTAAATCCTACCTAAAGCACTCTCCCTATTACTTGGATGTTTCTTCATTCACGGGAAACTTCTG